GGATATGCATTTTCTTTGCAGTGCAAAGGAACTCTTCGTACTTTTATCTTTACACATAAGAAAAGGCTTTGTCCTTGCTAAATTGAATTGTTGTGCATGGCATTATCCAGGATCCAAACAAACACATGGATATATCAACCCCAAAGCCATTGTACTCTTGTTCCAGATTAATTTTTACTTCCATAGAAGTATAGTTGTGGGGTTGCTGTTGTTGTTTTGCTTTCTTTTTTAAAAGAAGGATGCCTGGGGACATCTTTTCACTGATTTTCCCTCTGTGATGCAAAGAACCAATTTTAAATGTTCATCTTTCTTCTGCCGCTTACATTTTAACAAGAGATGTTCACCTTCCTGCCATCTCATATTTCAGCTCCCTGCTTGCCTCCACCCTGTCTCAAAACACAATATAATTCTAACCATTTTCCTCCTGTTACACTTTCCTTGCTTAAATATCAGAAGCATTATCCCTCTCTTTCTTTAACTACCATGGGATGGCTCTTTGCTCCATTCTCCTAATCCAGCCTTTCTCAACCTGTGGGTCCCCAGATGTTGTTGAACTACAACTCCCATCACCCCTAGCTAGCAAGCCCAGAGCTCAGGGACACAGTGGCTTGGGTGCCCACAGGCTCTGCGCTGCCCCGAACAGTCCACCCACCGCCTTCCCCTCAGATGTAGGGCGGTTAAGTGGGAGGAGGCAGGCAGACTCCTCAGAGGCCCTGTGGAGCATCCTGCCCCAGCTGGCCCTGCCCCGTGAGTGACTGGCCCCACCCCTGGGTGCAGGGCACGTGCACTGCCTCAGGCGCCCAATCGGCTTGCTCTGCTGCTGCCTCTATAGTGCTAAAGTCATCTCAAGGTCTCCTTCCACTAGCAGCACTTCAACGCAGTGTGCCCATTTGCTCTTCTTGGCATGCTGACAGTGAAGATGGATCTCTAATAGTTTGAGAGAGCATTGAGGGTGATTTAGAACCCCCCACCCCCCCAAAAAAGTTCAGGCCAAATGTAACTTTATTTCCAAGATTCAGTTCTTCGGAAAACAGCAAAACAACTCTACAAGTTTGCAGTAGAAGCTGGCTGTGTGTGAAGCTGTGTGTGAAGCTGGTGTCTATGGTGTCACTGAGAAATGCGCACAAACACACACAATCTGCACAACGTTCCCTGCAGTTGTTCTTTCTCCTTCCTAAGAAAATCCTGTCTTTGACAATTATGGTGCTGAAAGAACAGATAAATGAATGAATAAACGCACAATATTGGTCCACCATTCATTTGGAGATGCTAAACTCAATATTCAAAAGAGTGGGCAACAATGGAAAAGGTATCTGGGTTCACCAGTGTGCAAGTGATTCCTATCACAACATTCTCTGCTTTTGTCCTTTGCGTTTTGCTTTTTATCCAGGTGTTTTTTTTTAAGAGTCTCTTCCTTGCTGAAAAATATCTGTCTCTATCCATATGCCCTTAGGTGACCCTCAGTTTATCTTTTTTTCTTTTTTTTTAACCCTGCATGAAGCGACTTATGGTGTGAGGCTTTAATCTAAATCACATTGAAAGTTGACTTTCTCTTCCTGTAGTCTTTGTATTGTGACACAGGTACCCCAACTGTATTTCAGAGAGGGAAAATATATGTGGCAGGGAAAGTTATACTCAGAGATTAGGGCACATGAAAGCAAAAAGAGAGACACTTGTTTCGCAATCCAATTGCATTGGTATTTGAGTTAGATCGTAAGGGCAATGAGACCACAATGTTATGATTTCAGTGAAAGGGCTCACCCACGGATCCTACACCACCATATTAGCCAATGAAATCCATTGGGCCTATCCCAATGTTGTTGTTGTTTTTAAAAAAGGGATTTTCCTGTTTGACTTTGTCCTAATTTACAAAGCCCTGAACATCTTAGGTCCAGGGTACCTCAGAGATTGCCCTAACCCTTATATCCCAGTTTGATCACTGGGATTATCTGCAGGAGCACGGTTGATCATTCCTCAAGTTGGTGAGGCTCATTGATGCTGGCTTGCACTCACGATTGAGGGGGCCGACGTACGTCATACGCAACAGTGACGTGAAACACACACAATGCCTTGACATCCTACGAAATGTTGTGATGTCATGTACGCAACAATAATCAATAAACACACAAGACGTAACCGGCTGTACTTTTGAATAAATAAGGTATACTATTTATTGTATGAAGGGTTGTTACAGTTCCACAGAATCCTTTCAAAAAGACAAGGATTCCCGGAATATTAGCCTTGTTTCGCCATCCTAGGCTGTTCTGGCGAAACAAGGCTAATATTCCGGAAATCCTTGTCTTAGACTCTGTGAAAGGATTCTGTGGAACTGTAACAACCCTTCATGTGGATTATTGGACTCTTTGAACAGACAGGTGGAATAGATACTTTTACATGTATGAACCTTATGCATGAACTGATTAGAGAATGAACTGATCCACTGGGTCTTCTGCTTTTTTCGTTGAACTTTATGAGACTTCTGTTGAAATCTGCAATTTGATACAATGAATAGTATACCTTATTTATTCAAAAGTGCAGCCGGTTACGCCTTGTGCGTTTATTGAGTATGTTTCACGTAACCATAGGTTTGTTGTTGTTGTTTTGTCATGTACACAACATCATGAAATGTCATAACATCACCGCTGGATATTGAAGGGGCTCCCCTTTTGGGGGGAGGGGGCAAACTACGGCTTCCCATGAGCTGCATTCCAAGCTTTCCCTTTAACCCTTCTGATTATGGTAGAGCCCGCAAGTATTTGTAATAATCCTTTCTTACTCTTAGCTCCTTATCCCTGGAAAACCACCATTCAAAGGTGACGGTACAAAGGGTTCCTGTGCCTTTAAGAGTTGAAAGCAAAAGAAGCTTTCCTCATTCTACTTTCTGAACAATTGTTAAAGAAGCAGCATCCTTGTCCTCTTTTGCATCTAGTCCAAAGAGAAAAAAAGAAAAGAACAGTGTACACTGTTCATGGAGAGCACGTGTTGTGGTGGGGGCCCCAGGACACTCCAAAGTTGGGGGCGGGCTAATTGTTCATTGGCCACAGATGCGATTGGGGCTTCCCTTGTTGTTGGGAAGAAGTTAATGTTGCCATTTGTTGATTGACAGCCAGAAATGCTAAAACTCCTTGCACGAGGCTAGGGCTTCCTCTTTCCGACCATGCATCGGATTGCCCGCCCCCCCTCCCTAGAATTAGGGTTGTTCGCTTTGACCTTGCTATGCCTGTCATGGGGTCGTCTGCTCTTGGGGCAGGGGTCTGGTAGGAATTTTGTCCATCTGGCTGATTGGCTGGGGCCATTTGGTTTTTGCCTACTGCGTAGCAAATCGTCACAACTTGTAAGGTTGCGGTTAGGCATTGGTTTATGGTTTGGTTGGTTGAGGGGAAGTGGTTGAGTGCCTGCCCTTGGTAGGTTGAGTGCCTGGCCCTCTAATGCTGCTGCTGCAAGGGATTCCGTTAAAGGAATTGGGGGCTAACTATTGCTTGTCCACTCTGTCAAGAGGGCTCGGGCCATAGCAATGAGCTCCTGGTTGCATTTGGGGTGAGGGCAGGTTCCCTGCTCCGCGTAACCCCCAAGTGTATTCCCCTATTCTGACTTTCACATCATGCGGAATGTCAGTCTGTCACCCATGGTGGGGGCAGATAGTCGCAACCAATTCCTAAGCAACCACTCACAAATTTGTATTTCAATAAAGTTGTGGTCAAAATTATGCCAAAAATCTTAAACAAAAAATTCTATGTGATGTGTGAGTTATTGGGGTGGCCCTGGGCACCTCAACACGCAACATCTCTGTGCAAATGCAAGGTCTTGGTTCCCAGCCAATATATTATATGAGTTGCACTATGAATATTCCCATACAACGTTTTCAAGCGACACCATGAGCAAAGGAAAAATAGATTTTCACATTCCTCAGTAATCAGTTTACATGGGAGAACAAAGGGCATAAGTGTACCCAGGCTGTGCAAAGAAGTATGTTTTCTTTAATGCTGATATTTAGGTTGTAATGGCTCCCTTGGGAGGCTGCTGTGATCACCAAGGGAGTGGCCGAGATTGTTGCGATATTTAATTATATGTTTAACGTTTTCTAAGCAGACTCCATTTATGAAGGGTATGTGGCCTGCTGCCAGCTTTGGCAGTCAGTTTTTGCTCAGCACTTGTGCTATCAATCTGGAGTGACACCAATAATCAAAATTACTTGGTGCAAGAGATTACATACCCTCCAACATTTCTCTGACGAAAATAGGGAACATCCCATTCCATAATGATAATTTTACTATTTATACCCCACACATCTTACTGGGTTGCCCTGGCCACTCTGGGCAGCTTCTAACATATATAAAAACATAATAAAACATTAAACATTAAACAAAACTTCCTTATATAAGGTTTCCTTCAGAAGGCTCAGTGGGGCAGATAACTCCTTACATCCAGAACTGGTAAGTCACTGGTTTCACATAGCTTCAGAAACTTGTTAAGTCAATCCTGGTAGTCCAGGATCCGCTAGAGTTGCCATGGTCCCTGACCACTGGTCCTGCTAGCTAGGATGGGAGTTGTAGTCCAGAAAACAGCTGGAGACCCAAGTTTCCCATCCCCACATGGATGAAAATCTGCTTGTGACGGGGGAGTAGAATTTTGGTAAGTTTATCCTATTAGCACCTATGTTTACTTCTGTTTAAGCCTAGCATTATGCTACATGTTTTGCCAGGCTGGGGTAGATTAAAGTGTACCAACCTTCATCAAAAGGTGTGTGTGTGTGTGTGTGTGTGTGTGTGTGTGTGTGTGTGTGTTTCAACATTGCCCCATAAATGTCCCTCTCTTTTTTAATATTAATTCATTATCTCTCACTCTGTCTATACATGCACACACATATCTCCTAGAGATCCTAGGATGCATGGCTAGATGAAAATAGCCTACACACGTATCTATCACGTGCCTAACCTGAATGAGAGTTTTAGACAAAGGCTGATGATTCTACTTAAGACAATCTAGAATGTCTGCATAATAGCCAAGAGAGCAGGTATGTCAACAGAGGCTATCAGTATTCAGCTGGATACACCCAGAATTTATTCTGATCCCATAAGGCCTGAATTGCTTTTTTGCTTATCTCCTTCTCCTTCTTTGGAAATACTGTAGATATTACATTGGGCGTTACCGGCAACTAAGACCGTCAGTTCTGTCCATAGATAAAACGCAGCCAACATTGATATCAATGAGAACGATGTGCACAGATCGAGGGCATGGGATGGCCCCTAATTTGTATCATTAAATTAAAATACTGCAGTGCACAGAACTGGAAAATGGTATCTGGGAGTCATTAATAAATAACTGGGCCAGTGGAAGGCAAGGCTATCACCTTTCTGTCAGGGTAATAGAGATACTTTTCCTAATGAATAGCTGTAACCATTGCCGGACAATAAATATGAGAGCGTTCAGATTTCAAGGCTTCGCTGATGACAAAAAAAAGGGGGGGGGGGAATACCTAGATATTACCAGTCACTTTTTTCCCCCCTGGGATGGACAAATTATAAGGAAAGACTAAGATTCTTTTTTCACTTAAGAATCTCAAGGAGAATATATATAAAGCTGTATCTGTAAGAGCATTATCATTCGTCGTGCTCCTTTTCCAGAAAAAGGCGGGGGAAATACAGAGTACAAAGAGACAGCATTTGCTGACCTTATTGGATCAGAATACAAGGTTTTGCCCCCCAATGTCACTGGTGGCTTTGAATAGAGAACTTTTCATTAACATTTTTAGAGTTTCTGGGGATATTCTTTTTAAGAAATCTCAGAAATCTGCATTCTAAATTATTCTGCTGCCCCTGCTAGGTCATGTTAGTTCCATTGAAGCAGAACCCCTCTCTTGCTTCAGTTACACAGAAGAGCCCGTTCTCCTTTTTAAAAATGGCAAAGCTTTATTTTCTAAAGAGTATAATTCAAAAATAAAATAAACCCTCAGAAAAAGAGAGAAAGAGAGAGAACTGATCATGAAAGCACAGAGGTATATTATTACATTCCAAAGTAAGTGCCTCACATGCCTCACCAGTGCCTCACCAGTTGTTGCCACTTAACCTTTACTCATGTATATGGATCTTGTTCAGGATTCCCACACAAGCCCCTTTGGAAGGAACAGTGATAGAGAACTGTACACATGGGCTTGGTGAATTCTCCCATATACAGTGGTACCTCAGGTTACATACGCTTCAGGTTACATACGCTTCAGGTTACAGACTCCGCTAACCCAGAAATAGTACCTCGGGTTAAGAACTTTGCTTCAGGATGAGAACAGAAATCGTGCTCCGGTGGCGTGGCAGCAGCAGGAGGCCCCATTAGCTAAAGTGGTGATTTAGGTTAAGAACAGTTTCAGGTTAAGAATGGACCTCCAGAATGAATTAAGTACTTAACCCAAGGTATATCCAAGGCACACTCACTCTATGATGCAAAAGCAGGTCTACCATCACATTAGGCCAATTTTGATGCAACTGACTGTGGACTAACGTTATGGATCAGTGCATATTCAAATTTTTGGTTGGTTCTTTTGGGTTGTGTCTGTTGGAGAGAGAGGTTCGGAAGAGAGACCCCTACTCTCCTATAGCAGAGTTAAGCACAATGGTGATCGCTACAAAGCACATTAAAACTTGTTTAGATTTTACACCCTCCCTCCACCACCTTTAAACAAACATTCCCCACAAAAATTACTTAGGCTAGAACAAATCACAGACCCTTAGCTTTGCAAATAAGTGAATGTTTTCCTCAGAGAATTTCTAGAAGTTACAGCAAACAAGCCTCCATCTGCTGGCATTAAAACAAAAATAAAAAGGTTCCAAGTGAATTAAAAAGAAAAGTACTTGGTTTCCTTACAAAAGGGATTTTTGCATTAGCAAAGATGCAAGCTGTAAAATCTCATTTTAGAGATATTCACTTGGTTTTTCTTGCAGCAGGAAGCCATTGGCTGCACGGCTCCTTGATTGTGCCAGGAAGCACAAAGAAACAGTCTGAGAAGGTGGTGGCAGAGGCTGCAGAGAGCTTTAAGCTGTAGTCACTTACTACCTGAGCTCTGGGTTTGGGTTAACCCTTTGGGGGATGCAACTGTAAGCCAATAACTGTACATTACAACAAAATTCAAAGGTGGCTTGGTGCTCATGAGAAGCACTTCTGCTCATTCAAGTCAGGGCACTGCTTTTGGTTACCTATATCATACTGTTTTCTGTCAACTATTTTGCAAGCTTCTTAATTTCATTGAGAAATTTCATTGCCTTGCCTTGGTGATACATCAAGCCAAAGCATACTTTCACTTCAAAAGCCATGGTTTGCAGTGACATCTGACTTGAATTGAGTCTCTCAGTAAAGGTAAAGGGACCCCTGACCATTAGGTCCATTCGTGACCGACTCTGGGGTTGCGGCGCTCATCTTGCTTTATAGGCTGAGGGAGCCAGCGTGCAGCTTCTGGGTCATGTGGCCAGCATGACAAAGCTGCTTCTGGCGAACCAGAGCAGTGCACGGAAACACAGTTTACCTTCCCGCCGGAGCGGTACCTATTTATCTACTTGCACTTTGACGTGCTTTCATACTGCTAGGTTGGCAGGAGCAGGGACCAAGCAATGGGAGCTCACCCAGTCGCGGGGATTCGAACCGCCGACCTTCTGATCGGCAAGTCCTAGGCTCTGTGGTTTAACCCACAGCGCCACCTGCATCCAGTTTCTCAGTACCCCACCTAATTTCTCTGCTCATGAAACAGGGTAGCCTATGTTTTCTGTCCTGGTGTCCTTGGAGTAGGGTCAGGATACAACTGTGATGTGCAATGCTTCAAATGGCAACATATCAGAATGAAGGCATCATGGCAGTTGCAAAACTGAACATGGCATTTCTACTGAAATGTTGATGACTGAAACATTCCTATGTAAGTTTTGGGGCTGTGGTTTTTGATGGTAATAAATTGCCTCGTGATTACAGATAAAACATACAAAAATAGTAGCCATACCAGATGAGCTTAAAAAAAATGTCATTCCAAGGCAATATTTAAAATATGCTCTTAGAAAAATCCCAGTGGTTGATATGGGAGCTTGCATTTTGTCCCCTCATTCATCCTCATTGTTCTCTCAGATCCAAGTGTAACTTCTTGATACTTTCACCACATCTATTAGTGAGCTTTAAATGAAAATCGTTTCAGCAATATTACATTCAATTATAATGGAGTTTCTATGGAATCATGTATTATATCCACCTGAATACCAAAAGAATTCATCATGATTAAAGTTATTGCAAGAAATACCACAGGAAGGAAGAGTGATTTGCCACTTATTATAAAGGGTTGCCCATTTAGCCATAAGTGGTCAGTCATTATTAATTCATTTGGTATTCCCTATAACATTAATCACAGATAATTCTTTGGGTATTATTAATGAAGATATAACATAGGATTCTATGATTCTAATTCCATTGCAATTTAGCTATTTATTTAAATGTATCATTAATTTCAAACACAATCAATCCCGATGTCAAGATTTTCAGTCAGACCTTTTATGGAGTTATTCCTGTGTTTAAAGGAATTCATACATAGGTCAGTTAAACAAGGTTTCATGTGTGTGTGTTGTTAAACTGATTTCTTTTCATCTTTGTCACTTGACAGCAATCTATTTGTGCCTCAGTGGAGGGACAGGAGAGACTTCAGTTCTGTTCACATATAAAGATGAATCGATCCAATTCACACTTTTTGGAAAAATATGAGAACTGAAACACAGCCATCCTTTGAAATTCTTCCAGATTTTGTGCTGCAGTCCTGAAACCAAATGATGTTTACCAAAATGCACATATTGGAGGAAAGTGTTCATAAAGATAAATATATTAGTGAAAATAACTTTAACCTGATTTCTATTAGGAGAACTTATGCATGCAAACACATTACATTATTCAAAGTCACACATAAAATGTAGTATCATAGAATTGCAGAGTTGGAAGGGAAAGTGTTTAAAATCTAAAATCACAGTGCACCACTGTTGGCAGTGACTTCCCAGTTAACCCTCACCCTGTTATGCCTCTTGTTTTGGTTAATGACGACTGCTGGTTTCACAAAGCAAAGAGGGAATTTTGTCCTTCACATTTTTGGCACTTTGGGGAGGGATTTTTGTCTTTCTTGTAGAAAGGAACTAGAGTGTTTGTTTGCAATTTTAGTCACAACTTTGTTGGAGGGCGAGGGGCATTGGGCAGGATCCTTAATTGTACAGTGGGACCACCATAAGGGGTCTTAGGCGGCGACTGCCCTTTAAGTCTGGGCACTGCCCGCTAGGACTCAGTACTGAACACAGGTTAAGGCGGGGTTTACTTTAAAATGGTCCCTGATGCATTGTGACTCCCTAGCCAGTGGGCTACAAAGGGTGGTATTGAGCAACAGGTGGGTTGCCTCATATTGCGATCCTGCCTATACACTTGTACCTCAGAAGTCAAATGGAATCCATTCTGGAAGTCTGTTCAACTTCCAAAACGTTCAGCAACCAAGGTGCGGCTTCCGATTGGTTGCAGGAAGCTCCTGCAGCCAATCAGAAGCTGCGCCAGACGTTTGGGTTCCAAAAGAACATTTGGAACCAGAACACTCACTTCCAGGTTTGCGGCGTTTGGGATCCAAAACATCCGAGTGCCAAAGCATTCAGGATCCAAGGTACAACTGTATATCCTTTGCAAGAAGAGAAGAAGAGTTTGGGTTTGATGTCCCGCTTTATCACTAGCCGAAGGGGTCTCAAAGCGGCTAACAATCTCCTCTCCCTTCCTCCCCCACAACAAACACTCTGTGAGGTGAGTGGGGCTGAGAGACTTCAGAGAAGTGTGACTAGCCCAAGGTCACCCAGCAGCTGCATGTGGAGGAGCGGAGATGTGAACCCGGTTCACCAGATTACAAATCCACTACTCTTAACCACTACACCACACTGGCTGGACTGTGGCTGCAATTAATGAGACAAAGATAAATTTGTGGCCTATATTCATCCAATCATGTCTCTGGGCCTCAGAAGCTCCAGTCCAAATGACTGATGAAAAATGGAATTTCTATATTAACTGACAGCTTTGACTTGATAAAATTACACTAATCCCTATGCTGTTATCCTCAGACCAAACCACATCAAGGGCAGCATGCAGGCTTGGCTAGCTGTTGGGTTGTCTTGATGCACAATAACTGGGAACAGAAAACACCAGCCAACCAGTCACATTGACTGTGTCCTACATTAAAATGATGAGAGCTTTCAATCAAAGCGGGAGGGAGTGGAGTGGGGTGCAACCCAATGCAAAGGTGATAAAATGAAATACTTTCTATTGCAATGTATCATGTAATTAACCTGTTGAACTAACTGCTTCAGGTTATTATTGAATTATAATGGAGAATTGCTTAGCAAATCTCAAAAAAGGATTAGGCAATTATTATATGAGCAAGAAGAGCATCTGCTGTGACACTAGCTAGGATAAAATTATAAAGCGGTATCAATTCTTCTTTCTTGAGCACAGACCACAGTCCTAAGGTGAGGCTCCATTATTTGATTGCCATTAGACAATATTGCTGATTAGCTATGTTTAAATGAAGAAATGACATGCCTTGTTTGTATGTGCTAACTTACATGTTTCAAATTAATCTGAAATATTTTGAGCCATTGAGCTTCGTTGTGGTTTTATTTTGAAATATGCCCTATAGCCTAATTATTAAGTTGAAAGCATGAAACAGCTGTTGCTTATTGCTTGTGTATGATTTGTATGTTGATTACCATGGGTGGAATGGAGTCATCAGAAAGGACAGGAGCAGATACCCACAACTAGGGAGGCAAAAATGCACCACTCTCCCTTCCACTGTGTGTTGGTCACACAGAATCATAGAGTTGGAAGGGACCTCAAGGGTCATCTAATCCAACCCTCTGCAATGCAGGAATCTCAGCTAAAGCATCCATAACACATGACCACCCAAACTCTGCTTCAAAACCTCCAATGAAAGAGAGTCCATCACCTCCAGAGGAAGTCCGTTCCACTGCAAACCGCTCTTACTGTCAGAACGTTCTTCCTGATCTTTAGTCAGAATCTCCTTCCTTGTAACTTGAAGCCACTGGTTCGAGTGCTACTCTCCAGAGCAGGAGAAAACAGGTTTGCTCTATCTTCCATGTGACAGCCTTCAGATATTTGAAGGTGGCTATCATATCTCCTCTCAGTGGTTTTCCAGGCTAAGCATTCCCAGTTCCTTCAACCACTCCTCCTAAGGCAGCACTACGGTTTGTCTTGCACCCCCAAGCAACGTTCTTCGCCTTGTTGTCTGCAATGGTGAAATTACACAACTTACATAAATTATATAATTGTCATTCTGTTACTCCATCTCATACATTTCATTGCAAAGGACGCACAATGTAGCTAGGGTGTGCGTGTGGAGGTGACATAATCAATTGCATATCATTTGTGGACTGAAAGCAGACTGCAAGTTGCTGGTTTTCTAGTGGAGATTGCCTGAATTTTGAAAGATGTGCCATCCTAACCTCCAGGGGTCCAGCAAAATAGCTGCACAGAAGACTGAAGAGGCCACCAAGGTCTTCCCACAACCGGATGAAACAACACAATAATGGGAATGCAATGTGGGACTAGAGCACTTTTTGCTACTGTCACAGAGGAGAGTGGGATTTCTAGTAGTATGTTCCAACCTTGATTTCCACACACTTCCTATAACATCATTGTGCCTAGGCTCTGTACAAAAGTGGTACAGAGTGCTACACATGGCCCAGGGCTTCACCTACAGTGCCTAGGCTATGAAGTTTGAATGCATTTAGGGACCACATAGATGTTAAAAGAATGTGCATGGGCTGGAGACAGGGTGCTCAGCACTGTGATCTTTCTCCATCATCTGCATACACTGTATGTACACTGATACTCTGAAAAAAGCTAAGGAGTCACTGGAGCAGAAAAATATTAAATCTTACCAGCTAGGACTGAGGCAAGGTTGTTTCTCAGGAATGCCAATGCCAGCCATCTTTTAGATGGTTATTATTACAGCGGTACCTCTGGATGCGAACGAGATCCGTTCCGGAGCCCCGTTCGCATCCTGAAGCGAACATAACACGCAACTGCATGTCTGCGTGTGCGCAGGTTGCGTTTCGCCACTTCTGCGCATGCACGTGACATCATTTTGAGCACATGCGCGAGTGGCGAAACCCGGAAGTAACATGCTCCGTTACTTCTGTTGTTGTTGTTTTTTATAAGATATTTATTAGGATTTTTTAAAATATTACAATAAAAAATGAAAAAGAAAGAAAAAATACAAAATAAAAATGATTAAAAACACTCGGATTTTCCATTGCTTATTTCTCTTTAGCTTGTTTCCCGGACCTCCTCACACCTCCCTTTTTTGTATTTCAGTTCAGTTTGTTGGTTCAGCAAATCCTTACCCTCTTTGTTTATCCTAATCTTTGGTCTTAAAATAATAACGTTAGATTTTTACCTCTTAATAACCCCTTTTTCATATTCCCTTAAAGCATTACAGCTAGATACCACTTAATTTCTATCCAACATCATTCTAACATTCATTAATTTTAATTTATGCTCCGTTACTTCTGGGTCGCCATGGAGCTCAACCCGAAAATGCTTAACCTGAAGCGTATTCATCCCGAGGTATGACTGTATTATTATTATTATTAGGTTGGAGAGGGATCATCTGGACCTGATCCAGTGTTCATTTGTACCTTCTCTTCTTTTTACAATACCACCCACATATGCACACCAAACACCCTACTTCATTACAACATCCACAAGTGGAAATTTCTTTATGCTTATGAATCTCTCTCTCTCTCTCTATCTATCTATCTATCTATCTCAGCATATGTGCTCCACTTTGTCTACAAACCAAGCAAGCAAACAACAACAGAACTTCACGACCCGGAAAAGCAAGTATTGCACTCATTATTTTTATGCAAACAATCCCCTGTAGTTCTTGCAGCTGGGGCTTCACTGGCGACGCAGCTGACCTTTCCAGTTGCCCATTTTGACCCTCTGAACACAGTAGCCAAGAATATACATTTTAGTTTCACTCCATGCTTTCTAAAGTTTGCACCTCTGATGCTTTCAGGATTTTCAACGGATCAATTTTGCAGCAGGGAAAAAATGGCATGGAAATTACGTTTCCATTAGCTCTCGTACACTTCCCTGTTTCCTTCAGCAACCAGCAACAAGAGAGGAAGAACAAATATTGATGGATAGATACTGGGATGATCCTGAGGGGCTAAGGCTGTTTTGTTAAAGAAGGTGAATGGAAACTTCTTATTGCCCAAAGCATGGATATAATGCAGGATATTTCTCTCGCAATTCAGGTTTCATTCACCTTCGCTCCCTGCAGTTTCCCCAACAAGCACCCAGCAGCATAAGAAAACCTTGGAGTTCCTTTGGTCATGCCCTGTTCAAATTTAAAAGAAACTTGCTAATCAGCTAGGGCACACGGTCTGTTCTGGCCCTTGCTTATGAGATGCCTTCTGTGGATAGAGGTCAGTCGGAGAGCTCAGATTTTCAAGTCTTTTGAAAGCAATGGTGAAATGCCTGCTCAAGGATAAATATGCAGGCACATTGTTCTGTGAAACGTTTTCTTTAGCTGTGGATTTTTAAGAACAAAAACACATTATCAGTTTTTTGATGGTGGCAGTGGTGGTCGAGACTATTAAGGCCTCTTGGGCTGATCAGAAGGTTGGCGGTTCGAATCCCCATGACGGGGTGAGCTCCCGTTGCTCTGTCCCAGCTCCTGCCCACCTAGCAGTTAGAAAGTATGCCAGTGCGTGTAGATAAATAGGTATCACTGCAGCAGGAAGGTAATTGGTGT